GAGAGAGAAAGAGTCAGAGAGAGAGAGAGAGAGAGAGAGAAAGAGCGCTCAGGGTGTTTAGGTGCGATTGGTCTTTGCTCGCTTTATTCTCACATTAATATTCGATCGCTGTCACTCAGAGCAGGAAACCTTCTCTGAGAGAGAGACAGTGAATCAGATTCAGTGACGGTTTTGGTGACTTCTACCATATTTTATGAGTGCCTACTATATTTCCTTTACACAGGGCTCTGGGGCTCTGTGCTGCCTACATAACAAACATACATATTGTTATTTCCCCAGGTAGTGTGCAACATTACTTACAGACAAATGAATGATACATGAATGCACACACAGCTCTTATAGCATCCTGACATGTTTCTGTGCATCCCTAAATCTTAGTGATGAATACTTACAAACACAAAAGCAACAACTACTTCTGTTTGATTGTTTTGCTATAGTTTCTTTAATAGCACTGCCATCACAGCTGTATGGCTATATGTGTCTGTCCAACATAGGATCCACAGTAGAAAGAAAATAAATAGTGTTTAGGATCTAGGAATAGTAAAGTTGTCTCTATATTTATTTCCATCCAACAATTTTGTATTCTAGTCTATAATGAGCGAAAGTACTCGGAACTTTTAGTACCAGGAACTACCTTTCAAGGAACTAAAAGGTTCCATCAGCCCATTGTTATCTGTGTTTCCACTAAGGTCAAATGAAGCGCAAAAATTAGGCAAATTAGCCCGCTGACATACAAAAAAGTGATGACTGTTTTCACGACCATGACACAACCATGCCTGGACTTTGTCGCAGGTCCGTCTGTCTGTATACTTTCTTCTGCAACTCCATGGTGACGTGTCCAAGCACCAAAAACAAAATGGTGTGCAGCTACAAACTTTAAAAAATGTCTGGCTGAAATGAACCAATCACAAATGTACTACCCACAAGCAGGGACTTTCTGTGGGGATAAAATAATGCTCCCAAAACTTGATTTAGACCCTGTCCCTGCTGTGGAAACACACTGCATTCCTCCGAAGGTTCCTAGTCCCTGGGGAAAGTTCCTGCAGTAGAAACGGCTGTTAACATGACTAAAAAATTGTTTTCATTTCTGTTTCAAGCAGCAGTTATTTCTCTTGAGACGCTCATCCTCCTATCAGTCAGTCTGAGTCTCCTTTAATGATTCTCTGAGCTGCCTGCTGTGGAAACAGGTCAAATAAATACTGAAAATAATCCTAAGTGAATAGAATTGTTCAATCTGTAACATTACCTGTCACATTTGGCAAAAAAAGACAGTACCAGACCAGACAGACTGGCTATGCTCCCATCTGAACCACCAAACAGTGTTTTCTCATTTAGCATCTGGACAAGAATCACAACATCTCAGCCCAGTTGAGACCAGTCAAAGAGAGCCCCAGAAACCAGCTTCAATACCTTCAGTTGGCCCACGCCATGCATTCTGTGACATCTGTCAGGTTTTCCCAGAGTTCAGCATAAATTAAACATTTTGTTATGTATTCTAAACGGTGTATTCTATAAATATGGAAATAAAAGATCAATAAATAGATAGATGTTGCTCTGCTGTGTGCTGTGCATTGTCATTTGAGTATATTCACTGAACATCCATTCAGTCTCAGAGAGCTACATTAAGAGCTCAGCTTCTGATGAAAAGCGTGAATAATGATTTTAAAAAACATACGGGCAAAAGGTAAAAATGCAATCCAGAGAAGAAAATAATAACAACACTATTGGCCGAAAAAGCCTATTTTCATATCGAGGGGTTTGTTTATTCATTTGTTTTATTTCGTTCATGCTGACAGTTGCTGCACATGACTTTATATAAAGTTGTATTTGCAAATGCATGTGTGTTAGTTTGTGTGTTTGAGCATGTTTACCTTGGAAAAGGGTGATATCTTTGACTAGTCCCGGCCCAAACAAGCCTTCTAAGATGCTTTCAAAGCCTGTGAAGAAGAGAAGAGATGTGATATTAATGCAAGCTGACATGTTTACCATCAAAACAACAGATGACAGCCGCTAGAACACAAAGTAAAACAAAAATACTGTCACACAGGATAAAATATCTCCAGCCTTGTTTGTCAAAATGCAGCATTTTACACAAGGACACAATTTTAAAGGAGCCATTATGTTGTGTTTTTGAAGGGTGAGGAACATGAATGACAAAGTGGTTTTCCCGTAGGACATATTTTGCTGATGCACAGCCTCCACTGCTTTTGCCCAACAGCAACAAAAACAAAACTGAAAATAGCAGCACAAAGCAGTTTGCATTATTAAATTATGTGATATATTTATGTTGTTTTTTTAAAAGGATTTTATGAAAACTGACACAATAATAAAACAAAATACATTTTGTCTGCACACATTCAGACAAAGGCATGGAAGCTCTTTTTAGGGTACACACACACGCGCACGCACGCACACACACACACACACACACACATTTATATATAGACAATGGCATGAGAGCACAAACATACACAATAGACAAGGCTGTGCAGGCACACACAAACAGAAACACACCGAAATATCTACAAAGACGAGGCGGGGTGAACGCTTATTATGCATATA